AAAGGAACGTAGAGAGCTGTTTGTTTAGTGTAGATGCTCACCTTTTTAAATTATTATCGAATAATTCCAACAGCGATGACCTTGTCATTAGCACTTCTTTCATTTTTATATGTGGGAGGGGTACTCTTTCTCTGATGTCATTTGCAAGCCATTCTGCAGACCAACATGTGCGCCCCCCCTTTCTCTCCCTCCTACTCATCATCCACGTTGAAAACAACTCTACATAGGCGAAGCACTGAGTGCTCTCCCCTCCTCCTCCTCCTCCTCCTCCTCCTACTGCTCTTTGCAAGCACACAAACAGAAATGCACCCAAAGCATCAACCCCTCTCCCCTCCACTGCAATGAATTGCAGTGCTACAAGCGGGCTGTATACTAATTTTTTCCTTGTCGTCGTTGTCGGGGCTTGATCCCGCAACCTTTGTCTGCTGTGTTGCCTGTTTGTTTGCTGTTTGTTTGTTTTGAGCCTTGCGGGACTTGATCCCGTGACCTGTAACCTCTGTGTTTTGTTTGTGAGTTGTTTGTGAGTTGTTTGTGAGTGTTGAGCCCTATGGGACTTGATCCCTGAGTCTGTCACTACCAGTCTCTGTTTGGTAGTCTTAGGCCATTCGGCCTTTTCCTTTTGTCTAGTCATAGGTCTAGGTCCCATTTTCCCCTGTTTCCGTCTAGGTACAGATGGGTCTTAGGTCGTTGCTTTTGGGAGTCCTTCGTAGGTCTAGGCAGAGGGCAGAAGCAGCGTGAGGGAAAATGAGTTCGGGTCTTTTCTCGTTGTTTCGGCCGGGGAAACTCTGCCCGTTCGTTGCCGAAGCGTTGCTGCGTTATTTTGGGCGAGGGCATCTTCTTCCTCGAAGCCCAGCCATAGCTGGGGCTGGGGCACGACGTTGGAGATCGCACTGCTGCTATTCAGCAGCTCTGCACGAGAGCTTCCACAGGACTGTGTTGTTGTGTTTGGGCGCTGCCTTTCTCCACTTCACAGCCATATTTGCTGTTCCTCCTCATGAGGAACTTCGTTTTTCTCTTCTTCGAAGTGCTGGATCCGTTGTCTCCTTCTTCATCAGGAATTCCAGCGCTGCACTTCAGTGCAGGCGCTGAGCTGGCGCTGCTATCATTGGGGCTGCTGGTTCAGATTGGCACGTTGTGACAGCTGTGGGGTTACTGCTGCTATGGCAGCCATAGCAAGGGAGGGGTATATGAGGTGGCGAGGAGGAAGAAGAAGACTCCTGCATACTTCGTTGAACACTTGTTTCTGGTTGTTCGGGGTTTTGTAAACGCGGTTGTGATTCTTGGAACAAGTACTTCGGATTGATTGGAGGAGGACAGGGAATTACAGAATTGAAATTCATTTTTCCATTCTCTGTGTACTTCGAGCTTCCGCTGTGCATATCTTCTCTCCAGTTTTGTGTGGATTTGCCTCCTTCGAGTCTACTCTGCAATTGCATGCGTGTATGGGGACGTGTGAATTCTTTGTGGATGGGAGTCCAATCGGGTACATAACACCACAAAGCAGTGTCACTAAATCCTCTCTTCACTCCCGATCCTCCTCTTGCTCATTCTGAAACGAAAAGGTACCCAACGAACAGATGATGTGTGATGATGTGCTGTCATTACTCCCCGTTCCCTCCTCCCCTTCTCATTGCAAATAAATTCGGGGGAGGAGAGTGTCATCACTAAGTCCTCCCGCCCTCCTTCGCCTAAATGGTAAATCAAACAAACGCACAAAAAAAAACACTCCAGACTGCCATTACCGCCTTTTCCCTCCTCATCCTCTTCTTCTGTCCAAAGAAACGACGAGAAAAGCCATGCTACTATCCCCTCTTCCCTCCTTCTCTCATGTCCTCCTCTTCTTTCCAAAGGCATGAACAGAAAAAGTGTGCCATTACTTCATCCCTCCTCGTCCTTCTCCCACTTTTTTTCCCAAAGAAACAAATAGAAGAAGTGAGTCATTACTCCCTCTTCTTCCTCTCCTTCTTTCTGAAGAAACTAACAAAAACAATGTGCCAGGGCATGGTACTTTCCCCAGTGGCAAGTGGGTGATTCAACCACTCAAAAGTCAAATCGTGCAAGAATTACATTGCGCTGCCAGGGTCATATTTTCTTGCACAATTTCTTATCTCAGACGCTGGGGGGTTGGACTTTCAGATGCCAACTCCCTGCAAATCAGGCATGTCCAACACGGACACAAGGACTACATCGATGCAGTGAATCGCAATTCCAACCGAGAGAGATCGGAGGCATCCAACAGCAGTTGGTTTCACCGTCCCATGTTAGCACTTCGTGTAGTGTTAGTGAAGTGATCTCATGCGAAAAAGAAAAAAACACAAGTCAATGGCGTCGGTATATGGGAGCAGGAGATATGCACACACAGCAAGAGGGGGACAAGGATGAAGAATGGGTGCAATTCCTGTAGTCAAAGGTATGAGTCAAACTTCTAGCCACATGCACACGCACACACACACACACACACACACCCACACACACACACACACACACAAACACACACAAACATTCACAGAGAGTGGGTTTTATGACTGTGTCTGATTAGTTTCTCAGACTTACTACCGATCTTGTCAAGGGCTTGGACCAGGTTCAGACCTGCTAGGATTGCAGGGTTGGTGTGAGTAAAGTCGACCACTTTTCTCAGACTTCCATCAGTCAAACGCATCCTGGGCAGACTGTCGGGTCCAGCCTCCTGATGACTCAGCAAAAGATGTCGTCATCGGCTTTTGTTTTTTTTTGGTCTTTCAAAAAAAATTATGGGACTTGTATTTTTTTTCTGGTTTTGGTGTGCTTGCATGTTGTCTGCCCTCCTGCGTCCCCCATGCCCTCCAGGCTATGGTGCAGCTCACTGCTTTTGCCTTGATGTCTTTTTGCTTGCTTGGTTTTGGCATGCCTTGATGCTTCTTTTGTCTGCCTGGTCTTCACATCCTTTTAGGACTCGTCTGCCTGCTTGGTGTGATTGTGTGTTCTCTGTCCTCCCGCCTTCCCCATGCCCTCTAGCCTATATATGTTTGGCGCTTTGGAAAGCTGGTTATGGATAACCACGTATGTACTAGGTAGCTTCACCAGTAGTAGAGTGGCCACATACAGCGTTAGTTTGGTTACCGCAGGGTGGGGGGTACCATGGGCTCCATGGGGTGCATGGCGAGTACGCCACGCGATATGCACTGGACACACACACACACGTACCCACATAAGCGGAGGCACAATGGCAGTGTAAAACTCAGCAGAGACAACAACAGAAAGGTTGCACATGATAACATCCAGCAGCGGGTGTCGATAAGCCTGCAATACAAAATGGCACAAACCCACAGACAAATGAAACTTAGTCAGGCATTCTGAAATAGTCTTTCCACAGTTTACGTGTGTTTGCAGTGCGGGCAGGGGTGCGGGAAGGAGGGCAACGAGGGGTGCTGGGGGACTGCGGGAAGGGCGTTCGATTGGTGAGACAGTAGAGAGGAATTCACATAATGAGATAGTTGACTTGGAGATGTTGGTTTCTCTTACGGCCTGGTCCGACCTTCTTTATTTGAGCACCCGTTTTTGTGCTACAGTCACCCTGAACCTAGCATTTTTCTGCATCTAGGGTGCAGCTAGACTCGAGCACAAAAAATTCAAAAACTAGTCCCTAAATTAGGAACACACTGGACCGTGCCGTTACTTTCTCCCAACCAAAAAAAAAATGTGCTGTCTTAACCAGTCACGAAAAGCGTAAAAAAAACATGTCATTTTCCATGCGCAGTGTCCCGGCGACCCCACCCCATTCTGGAAGGCCAACTACCATCATTTACACCCCCCCTGCTACACTCCCTCACAAACATGGCATTATCATATGCTAAAAGCAGTTATCCTGAGGGAGAAAAGTCGAGGATATTATTAACAATGGCCTCAGTTCACAATACATGCCCAGGCACACTCCAATCAGGGCGAAAACCTAAGAATATTATATACATTGAATGTGGCCTCCCTGAGTCCGTGTGCAATTTGACTCCACATTGCCAAAAACAAACACAATAGCAAGGCAGCTGAATGTCATCCACGAAGATTTTGGCCATACTCACAACTTTACCCTCCACATAATTATGCATCGTCTCAGGAGACGATGCCCACTCCGGAGACGATGCAGATATAAGATCATGCCGGAAATTTTCCCTACTCAGACCCATGCAGTTTTACGGGTAGTTGTGGACCTAAGCTGCCATGGAGCAGAGCGCAATGCGCACTCATATCAGGGATCGCAACTACGCCGGTTACCCATTGTTTGTCGCTATATCCCTCCACTCCTCCCTCCTCCCCTCGCCCCTTTAACCCCAAACTGGCGCACAGAAACATGGCCTATAAGACTCCCCACAGATCTTGTGTCTACCACACAAGTGCATGTGTGCACACGCCTTCAGCACTATGTCGAGAGTGAAAGCAGTGATCACTAGGGTCAGATACATCCATAGTGTGAGTAAGCATACTCCCACCAGAGATGGTATCCGACCTTACTTCAAGCCACATTCAGTCAAAATAGTCTTTGTGCCGGCACAGCCTTGCAAAGACAAGTTAGCACTTTTTCACTCCCGAATTGTTGACGAGAACGCAATTACCTCTTTCATTGAAAGATCACTGAAGATTCTACCGCGGAAGAGTGGAACACAACATTAACCTGCATTCATTGCCTCAAGTGGCTGAAAAAATAAACAGCTCTCCTTCTTTTGTGCACGAAGAGAGAGGGGGGGGGGGGGGGGGGGGGGGGCGCCGGGGGCGTGGGGCAAAGTGCCTGAAAGAAAGATTCGACGCAAAAAATCTGAACGCTAAACATAAAGCGCCAGAGAGAAAGGTAAAAGAGAACACACGCCAAATGGGTGGCATTATCCTGCTGCTAGCTCAGAGAGACACAGCTACAACTGCTACCGTCTTTCCCCTAATAGAAGCCAGAGTTATTACCACTGTATGTAGACTGAAAGTTGCCCAAAGTACAGCTTCCTTTTTCTTTCAAAAGGGCCACGACCTTGAGGTGTCATCATTGCACTATCCTAGCCAAAAGGCCGAGAAAGGGAAGAACTAATCCCTAATGGCAGATGGATTTGAACTCGAGTCTGTATTTCAACGGTTCTTGGGAGCAACAGCAGACCGCCCTGCTGAGCTGGGAGGGGAGTTTTCACGGGAAACGACGAGGCACTGAAACTGCAATGGGCATGTTCTACTACCTATCACTAAGTCGGACGCTTTATTCGCCAGATGCATTCCAACACTCCAGAGAGTATCCAAAAGCTTGCAGACTGCTGCCTAATGGAGGGTGGCTCTATGTAACGTGACGTGTCGAACAGTGGTACTCTGTTCTGTTTCAATTGTGGGCCCGCCAGCCCCACCCCCACCAAGACTCCTCCATGCCTGATAACTGTAGATTTTGGCCCGATACTTGTCATCAAAAGAAATGAACAGTACAGGGGGGTGCAGGGGGTGATGCACTGGTGGTTTAAGTGAACAAGCACACCAAAAGAGGGAGGCTGTGAAATCTGCAGTGTTATGTAATATGCAATACTCTATTTGGACTTTGGATTCCGCAAACACGGGGCATCCCTCAACTATTCAACATCCGACACGTATCTGGACTGCTGTGGGGACCCTGTGCACTCGGTCTGACCAAAAAATTCGAATGTATAGGGACAATTCACTTGGTTCAGATATTTTTGGAATGCCCTGCAGCCGAAAGAGGCCATAATGCCATGACGAGATGAGGAATATCTTTCGAGTCATTTGTCTGGTTCCCTTATATGGCTAAAGCACTCAAGTCAGCCCATAATGCCATGAGATGAGGCATTTCTTTCGATTTCGAGTCATTTGCCTGGTTCCCTTTATGTCTAAAGCACTCAAGTCAGCGGAAGGCCTGTTCCGATACGTTGGGCAAGAAAGGTATAAAGAAATTCACCAAGGCATGGCCTGGAGGATCAATCAGATGCATTGAAGATAGGCTACCGTTTCCACAAAAACTTGAGAATGTCGGGTGCATTTGGCGGCAATTGAAGTCAGATTCAGATCACACACGGTTCAGGTGTGAGTATGCACTCTGTGAACTTGAGCGCTTCCTCACACTTGGGCTATTCCATTTGGGCTATGGATTTGGCACCAAACGCTCCCATATGCCCTCAATGGAGTCACCTACGCAGTACGGACGTCCACTGACAGACGACAGAGAGAGCCTCCTCACATTTTGGGAAATTTTCTTCCAATTGGGCTGGCCTTGCTTGCCACGTAAGCCGTGTACGCTGGCGCCACCACGCTGGCATAACGAACATTTCCGATGAGACGTACTACCTTCTTCCCCCGAATACAACGTACGGTCATTACAGCTGTATTTGCGGCATGTTTCAGTCTAGATACAGCCATAATGACCGTACGTTGCATTCGGGGGAAGAAGGTAGTCCTGGCAGCGAGGTTACAACTTAGAATCTCAGCAAGTGTGATATCAGGCCTCACGACAGAGGTATGGCACAGAGAGAGAGACGTGAAAGAGAGAGAGAGAGAGAGAGAGGTTATGTTTCTTCATTTTTCCACTTTTCTTTACTTTCCATTCAATTTTCGAAAATCAAGGCGAGACCTGTCAGTCAGTCAGTCCGGCCTCACTTCCAATGGCAAAATGTGTCAATCAAAAAAAAAAAAAAGAAGTGCCATCGATTCTCTACGTCGTTAAATCCTGGTCAATAATATTCGCGGTGTGCTGCTGCGTTTCTTCTTTTTTTACTTTTTTTTTTTTGTTCTTTTCCCTGAGTCTTTTTTGAAAAAGGGTGACGGCCCCTTGAGATATATCATCATTGAATTGACCGGCCCTACCTTCTTCACCCGAATACAACGTATGGTCATCACAGCTGTATTTGGGGTATCTTTCCGTCTAAATACAACAATAATGACCGTACGTTGTATTCGAGTGAAGAAGGTAGGCAATTCAGAATTTTTTTTTTTTTATTCTGTTCTTCTGATAGTATCCGGATTCGAACTTGAGTCTGAATTTCAACAGGTCATGGGTGTACCAACTGAGCTACCCTCTTCCCCCGAATACAACGTACGATCATTATATCTGCATTTGAGACATCTTTCAGTCTAGATACAGCTATAATGACCGTACTTTGTATTCGGGGGAAGAAGGTAGGCCCGTTGGTACTGCCGCGTTTTCACGCTGCGTTCGTTCCAGTTACAGGTAGCCCGCCGCAATTTCGGGCCACGTAGTCCAAAACGAGGCTTCGCGCTGAGTTCGCACTACGGTCTTCACCCGAATAGAACGCCCGGTCATTACCGCCGCATCTGGACAGAAAGTTGTGCCAAATACAGCTACAATGACAGGGCATTCTATTCGTTGTTTACGTAGCATTTTTATTTTTATTTTCAATAAGAGAAGAGAAATTGGTTCAGGGCTGTACGGAAACTACTACGCGAATTCGAGAGTTATACAGACAATAGATTAATTCTATTCCGCGATTTTGGATTTCTTATTCTACAAAATTGAAATAATTTGTCTGCGAAATTGAACTTGAATAATATTTCAGTGAAATTGATAATTCATGTCCTTGAAAACCGATTCACTTTCCGCGAAACTGATAATTCAACCTCTTATAAACTTTTCGATCACCGCAAAATAGATGCGTCAAAGGGATAATACAGTAATAATAAATTAAGAACACGGTAAGTGAATTAGGGCAAAGAAGCCCTCCCCCCTACCCCCGGCGCCGAAAAACGCCAAGGCAAAGAACGACCCTTTTTTAAAACCACTCTTTTTTTTCTTTGCGAACTTCGTTTCCTATTCTTCCTTCCAACTACTCCTCTCTTGCCCGATTTTTCCTTCCAAATAATCCGTCCAAGAGAACGCGGAAGTCGGCTTTTGTAAACCAGTAATGCTGTTTTTTTTTAAATGATTAGGTACATTATTCAGTTCAATCTACACGTGGAGTGGACGTGACAATCCACGTGGCAGGGTCTTGCGATATCCTAGTTTTGAAAAAACGATATTCAATTAATAGAGTTAGCTTTTGTGAACCAGTAATGCTGTTTTTCATAATGATTACGTACCAGAAATGCTGTTTTCTAATGATTACGGATATTATCCAATTCACTCTACACGTGGACTTGACGTGGATTCAATCGACACGTGGACTTGACGTGGCAATCCACGTGGCGGCAAGGTTCTGTTTTTTTTAATATTCTTCACTAATATACCTCGCTCTACCTAACCTCTTCTCTCTAAGTCCAGTTCTCAAGTATTGATTGCTGCAGTCTTTCAATGCGCACCAGCTGAGTTATGGGTTCGCACCGACCTCCGCCCGCGTCTGAGCACCGCAGATTCTCCTATCCCTGGCACGCGATGGAAGGCTCCAAAAATACCCCGCGGGTAGTCCACCGCCAGCCAGGGGGGGAAGCCATCTATCTCCGCTGGTGAGCCCAAAGTGTGCCGCAGGGGGGCGCGGAAAGTCCAAGGGGTGCCGTGGGGAATCGAACCCACGACCTTCTGAATGCCACTTACGCGTTCTACCAACTGAGCTAGTCCGCTGGCCCACGCGTGGCAGGGTTTTGAATTTCGTAATTTCCAGAAAATGATAAATGATATTCACTTAATAACAGTGTTAACACAGGTTCCCAAAAAAAAAAAAAAAAAAAGAAGTGTTAACACAGGCTCCTTTGAGTGGTCACATTGTTACAGTAAGTTAATATCATTTTCTAGAAACTCGGAAGAAGTCCAAAACCCTGCCACGTGGATTGCCATGTCTAGTCCACGTGTAGATTGAATTGGATAATGCACGTGATCATTAGAAAACCCTGGTTTCCAAAATCTAACACTGTTAAGTGAACATCATTTTCTGGTACGTCATCATTACAAAAAACAGCTATCCTGGTTTACAAAAGCTAACACTGTTAAGCGAATATCATTTTCTCAAAACTAGGATATCCCAAAACCCTGCCACGTGGATTGTCACGTCCAGTCCACGTGTAGATTGAACTGAATAATGTACATAATCATTAAAAAAAAAAAAACAGCATTACTGATTTACAAAAGCCGACTTCCGCGTTCTCTTCGACGGAAATCTTCGCCGATCCTCCCGTGCAGGTAATAAGATTACGACGTGTTGTTTTTTTTGTTGTATATGTCGCTTATTCGAATTTATTTGTTATATATAATTTATATTTGAAATTTGTATTTATCTCGGATACATAAAAACGGCGGCTCTGGGGAAAAAATATTGCGAGATTCAATTTTTGGTTGTTATACTTCAAATTTGCATTTATCTCGGAATTAAAAAAAAAAACAGCGGCTCTGTGAAAATTTATATATATATAGTCGGTCCTCCCTCGCAGATTCAAATGTAATTGTTATATTAGAAATTCGTATTTATCTCGGATATATAAAATCGGCGGCAATGTGAAAAAAATAACTTGCCCCATTCTCCCTCGCAGTAATAAGATTGCCACTTGTCATTTTTTCTTTTGTGATCGTTTATTCGAATTTATATGTTAATCTGAAATTCGTATTTATTTCCCATACTTGCCATATTCACCCACAAAGGTGATGCTCCCGTATGATCGGCTATTCGAGTTCATTTATTAAATTTGAAATTCGAATTTATTACTCCTTTGACCAGGTAAGTTAGACGCATACTGCCGCTATTTCGACATCTCGTGAACCGAAATGGGCAGGCCCTACCGGGTTCTCGCCAAAAACAATACCGTATTGGATTTTCTTTTTATCAAATTAGGTGAATGCGCCTAAGTTAGAGAAACGGCGAACCGATTTCGAATTCGGTGGAAGCTTCTTGGACCGGTAGATTGGAATCGGGCGTGTAGTCCAAACGTTTTTTATTTTTGTAGAAGCTTCTTGAAACCGTAGATTAGAATTGGACACCTTGTGAATCGATATGGACAGGTTTTCTAGAAACTAGGACAGACCCACTGTGCCTTTCGTCAAAGGACCGAACGATTTAGACTGACGACCGCATAAATTGGTGGGCCGCACAGAAAATCGTGCGTCACTCATGTGTGTGCTGCGCAAGTCCACCTCCGTCGATAGTTTACGGGAGCTGCAGGCCCGTCTGACGCATGTGACTAACATGCAAAATCGATTCCACTAAATTGATATCTTTGTTGGTCCCTATGGTATGCGCAGAATCTCAAATCGGTTGACTGTTGAACTAAATGTGGTATTGGCAATACTAATTTGCTAAATCAATCTGCCTACCTCCGTCATGCGTCCAAACTGTTAAATCATTTTGTCCAAAATGGTAATCATTTATCCCAACCTATATCCAGTATGTCCAAAATGCTCATCCTTTCTCCCAACCTAAATCTGATATGTCCAAAATGCTCAATACTTCTCCGAACCTATATCGGCTGTCCAAATCGGTTCCGATAATGTACTAAATAGGAAAATCGAACTGACCAATTCGGTTTGATGATTGTCCAATTGAATTCTCGTTTGTCCAAATCGCTTCACCTTGATCCCAACTTACCTGGTCAAAGGAGTATTATCTCCCTCCCATATCTCCTATTTTCACCCAAAAAACGTGACGCTTCTGTGCAAGCGGGATCAGAGTGGTGTCATTTGGTTTTCACCTTAGCTACCGTCTTCCCCCGAATACAACGTACGGTCATTATTGCTGAATCTAGAGTGAAAATTGGCCCTGATCGGGCGTTCTATTCGGGGTGAAAAAGGTAGTGGCAAAAAAACATTTGGAAAAAAAAAAAAAACAGAAACCGAGACAGAGAAAGAGCTCGAAAAGAGGTAGAAAGGAAAAAAAGGAGCTGCGCGAAGAACAAGAGCGTCATTTCCGTAAAAAAAAAAAAAAAAGAACGTCATTTCCGTAATCATACACTTTTTTCTGTTGCAGGAGTCGAGATTTCTGCACACCATCCACAGTCACAATAACGGCTCCGTAGGGGGGGGGGGGGGAGGACAATGTCAAAGGAAAAGCGAGAGAGCGAAATCAAATTTTGAAGAGAAATGCAGCAGGGCAAAATCATTTTTTTCGAAAAGAAAAGCAACAGGACCACTTCTTGTCGATAAGTTCTTTCCTTCGGTCCTCTGGTCACTCCATTGCAACATAACCAGTCTGAGAACATATTCACACTAGGACTTTTTCCACTTCTCTATGGACGTAATTGCACTCAGATGCATCCACCCCAGGTCGGAAAAGCGGTCTTATACATCCTGGAAGTCCTGGTGTGAGTATGCCTTTGAGAAGAATCAAGGAAGAGGGAAGACAGCGGATCGAACAGGAGGCAGGAAGAAGAGAGCGGCAGAGGAGTGGGACGAGAGAGCGTGGAGGTTTTTTTAACACGCGGAAAAGGTAAAGTGCCAGAGAGACAGTGAGGAGGAGGGGTACGAGAGAAAACAAAGTGCCAACCATAGAGAAAGGTAAAGTGCCAGAGAATGCAAAAGTACCAGACAACGCTGAGTGAGAAAGGGAGGAGAGGAGGGACAGGAGGGCGAAAGGTCTCTTTCTCAGTGCCTTTCTCTCTCTCCTCCCTGTATCTCTATCTGTATCTTTAAGTCAGCAAGCACAAACATAGCACGCGGCAGGAAGGAGGGAGGAGGGAGGACAATGACCCTTTGGAAAGGAATACACTAACTTTCAAGTGTTCATCATCTAGCGTCTAGAGGGGTGGACGAAGTTCTGTGTGCAGTATCTTTTATTTTTCGATTACCTCGCAGCGTCAACGAAAATGGATCGAGGAATTCCTTTCTCAGCATCGTAACATGGACAACAGAATTGGAGGGAGGGAGGGAGGAAGGTAGGCAGGCGAGAGGGAGAAAGAGAGAGAAAGAGAGAGAGAGAGAGAGAGAGAGAGAGAAAGAGAGAGAGAAAGAGGGAGAGAAAGAGAGAGAAAGAGAGAGGAAAACGGGTAATGCAAGGGAGACGGTCTAATGTCATCATCAAGATTGGGCCACCGCGATGGCATGCATATCTTTCCTCTTTTTTCTCTCTCTTTTTGGATAGCCCATCCTGCAATCCCCCTCCCAAGTTCTCAACTCCCCGAATAAATCGTCAGTATAATTGAGATGTCGAGAAGCGGGGAAGAAAAGGCAACAACAGGTATACACCATAATCAGTTCGTTCTTGAGGAAAGAGAACGAGAGCGCGCATATCAATCAACGACTACGGTAGTTGCCCATGAAAATCGACTTCTACGCCCAAATTGATTTACTTTCCGAACAGGATTTATTGATTGGATGGCTGATTGATTAATCATTCGATTGATGGTTGATCTCCTCTCTACTCTCCTGATGAAGTACATGGACATAAAAGCTGAATAGCGGAAAGAATCAAAAACACCGATCGGGATGACGAAACATAGAGAAAGAAAGAGTGAATAGGAACCAAAGAAAAGGTTCCTCGACGAAAACAAAGAAGGGAGAGAGTTGGGCGCGCATTAGTAGCATACCAGTTTGGACATACCGAGCCAAAAAGAAACACAGACAAAGACAGAGAGATAGAGAGACAGATATAGAAAAGGATCAAAAGAGAGAGAGAAAGAGAGAGAAAGAGAGAGAGAAAGAGAGAGAGAAAGAGAGAGAAAGAGAGAGAGAGAGAGAGAGAGAGAGAGAGA